TTATGAGGGAATCTAGGGAGCTTGTTTCTAGCAAAACAATGACCCTTTGTCCTGAAGTTTACGCTGTGTCTGAGACTGTCACTTGTTAAATGCTCAAAGTGCCCACACATATCATTCAAAGTGACAGTCTTCAGTGTGGAAGAAAGACAGGAGGGGGACTGAGAGACATGGAAGGAAAGAAGATGGGAATGTGGCTGAGAGACATGGAAGAAAGGAGGACAGGAGGATGACTGGGAGACATGGATGGAAGAAGGACAGGAGGGGGCCTGAGCAGGGGCGGACTGACAACTCATGGGGCCCCCGGGCAATAAGGGATCATGGAGCCCCTGTCTCCTCACCCACACTCAAACCACACACAAAAAAGCCTATGAAAGGTACCAGATGCATCTCATGGGGCCCCCTACTGACCCTGGGCCCTCGGGCAGTGCCCGAGTTCCCATATGGTCAGTCCACCCCTGGGCCTGAGAGACATGGAGGGAAAGAAGATGGGAATATGGCTGAGAGACATGGAAGGAAGGAGGACAGGAGGGGGCCTGAGAGACATGGAAGGAAGAAGGACAGGAGGGGGACTGAGAGACAATGAGGGAAAGAAGATGGGAATGTGGCTGAGAGATGTGGAAGGAAGAAGGACAGGAGGGGGACTGAGAGACATGGAAGGAAAGAAGATGGAAATGTGGCTGAGAGACGTGGAAGGAAGGAAGACAGGAGGGGGACTGAGAGACATGGAAGCAAAGAAGATGGGAATGTGGCTGAGAGATATGGAGGGAAGGAGAACGAAACGGGGACTGAGAGACATGGAAGGAAGGAGGACATGAGGGGGACTGAGAGACATGGATGAAAGGAGGATGGGAGGGGAACTGTGAGATATGGAGGGAAAGAAGATGGGCATATGGCTGAGAGACATGGAAGGAAGGAAGGAGAACGAAAGGGGAACGGACAGGGAATGAAGGAGAGGGACTGAGAGACATAAAAGAAAGGAGGACAAGAGGGGGGCTGAGGGACATGGAGGGAAAGAGAATATAAATGTGGCTGAGGCATAAAAGGAAGGATGATGGGAATGGAACTGAGGGACATGGAATGAAGGAGGATGACTCAGAGACATGGAAGGAAGAAGGATGGGAGTGACTGAAAGGCATGGAAAGAAGAAGGATGGGAGTGACTGAAAGGCGTGGAAGGAAGCTGGATGGGAGTGATGCCGAGAGACATGGAAGGAGGATGGGAGGGTGGAGAGTGTGACCCCTCAAAATGAACTCGATAGCTGAGTAGACCCAGGAACTCAGCAACGAGATCTCAACAAGTGTCTGAGATACTGTATATAAGAAGCTGTAAAGGGGTTTACTCTCCAGTATCTACCAAACATTGAAGTGTTTTTTAGGTGGACTAATCATGGAAGTGAAGGGGACTGAGGGACATGGATGGAAAGATGATGGTAATGTGGTTGAGAGACATGTAAGGAAGAAGATGAAAGAGGGACTTTGAGACATGACAAAAAGAAGGACAAGATGGGGACTGAGGAACATGGATGGAAAGAAGCTACATTTCAGCTTAGAGACATAGAAGGAAGGAGGATGGGAATGTGACTGAGGGACAAGGAGAGATGGAGGACAAGCGTGTGACTGAGAGGCATGGAAGGAAGGAAGGAGAACGAAAGGGGGATTAAAGGCATGGAAGGAAGGGGGACCTAGAGGCATGGAAGGAAGGCGGACAAAAGGGGGACTTAGAGACATGGAGGGAAGAAGGACGAAAGGGGGACTTATGCAGGCCATAGATGGGTCGAAAATCGGCCGATTTTTCGGCCGAAAATAAAATCAGCCGATTTTCGGATCGTTAGTGGGCGATTTGGTCGGCCGTTTTTCGGTATTTTGGCCGTTTTTTTTTTTTTTGGTAAAGTTGGAAAAAAAATCGGCCGATTTTGCCGATCGGCCGATTTTCGCGGCAATTAGTGGGCAAATCGGCAGATTTTTTACCGATAAAAAATCTGCGCATGAGCAGTGACCTGCAAGAGGAAGACAAAAAGAAGAAAAAGAAGAAGAGGAAGACGATGAAGAAGAGGATAAAGAAGAAGAGGAAGAAGAAGAGGATGAAGAAGAAGAGGATGAGGATGAAGAAGAAGATGAGGATGAAGAAGAAGAGAAGATGATGATGAAGAAGAGGATGAGGATGATGATGAAAAAGAAGAGGATGAGGATGAGGAAGAAGAAGAGGATGAGGAAGAAGAAGAGGATGAGGATGAAGAAGAAGAAGAAGAAGAAGTAGAGGATGAGGATGAAGAAGAAGAGGATGAGGATGATGATGAAGAAGAAGAATAGGATGAGGATGCAGAAGAAGAGAATGAGGATGATGAAGAAGAAGAGGATGAGGATGAAGAAGAAGAAGAAGAGGATGAGGATGAAGAAGAGGATGAGGATGAAGAAGAAGAAGCGGATGAGGATGAAGAAGAGGATGAGGAAGAAGAAGAAGAAGAAGAAGAAGAAGAAGAAGAGGATGATGAGGATGAAGAAGAAGAAGAAGAAGAGGATGAGGATGAAGAGAAGAAGAAGAAGAAGAAAAAGAGAAGATGAGGATGAGGAAGAAGAAGAAGAAGAAGTAGGATGAAAATAAGAAGAATTCCAGTCCAGCAAAAAGTGTCTCTGCAGAGAGCTCCGCTATTTCTGACAGTTCTCTGATAGTTCCTTGACATTTACAGCGGTTGAAACATTGTATCTATTTGTTTCCGAATAAAAACATCTGTATCCTAAATGGAAACAAATAGATACATTGTTGAAACTTCTATAAATGTCAAGGAACTGTCAGAGAACTGTCAAAGAAATAGCAGAGCTCTCTGCAGGGACACTTTTTGCCGGCTCTAGACAGGTAGAAAATCGGCCGATTTTTTTTACCATTGATGGTAACGTCGGCCACTTGAACAACCGATTTTTCGTTTTTTAAAAGAAAAATCTGCAGTTTTTCTCCCCATCTATGGCCTGCATTAGAGGCATGGAAGGAAGGAGGATGAAAGGGGGACCGAGGAACATGGATGGAAAGATGATTGAAATGTAGTTGAGAGACATGTAAGGAAGAAAGTGAAAGGGGGACTCTGAGACATGGAAAAAATTAGGACAAGATAGGGGCTGAGGGACATGAATGGAAAGATGATGGAAATGTAGCTGAGAGACATAGATGGAAGGAGGATGGGAATGTGACTGAGGGACAAGGAGGGATGGAGGACAAGCGTGTGACTGAGAGGCATGGAAGGAAGGAGAACAAAAGAAGGATAATAGGCATGGAAGGAACGAGAACAAAAGGGGGACCTAGAGGCATGGAAGGAAGAAGGACATAAGGGGGACTTAGAGGCATGAATGGAAGGCGGATGAAATGGGGACTTAGAGGCATGGAGGGAAGAAAGGCGAAAGGGGGACTTAGAGGCTTGAAAGAAAGGAGGACGAAAGGGGGACTTTGAGACATGGAAAGAAGGAGGACAAGATGGGGACTGAGGAACATGGATAGAAAGATGATGGAAATGTGGTTGAGAGACATGTAATGGAGAAGGTGAAAGGGGGACTTTGAGACCTGGAAAAAGGAGGACAAGATAGGGGCTGAGGGACATGGATGGAAAGATGATGGAAATGTAGCTGAGAGACATGGAAGGAGGATGGGAATGTGACTGAGGGACAAGGAGGGATGGAGGACAAGCATGTGACTGAGAGGCATGGAAGGAAGGAGAACGAAAGCAGGATTAGAGGCATGGAAGGAAGGAGAACGAAAGGGGGATTAGAGGCATGGATGCAAGGGGGAAAAAAGGGGGACCTAGAGGCATGGAAGGAAGAAGGACGAAAGGGGGACTTAGAGGCATGGAAGGAAGGAGGATGAAAGGGGGACTGAGGAACATGGATGGAAAAATGATTGAAATGTGGTTGAGAGACATGTAAGGAAGAAGGTGAAAGGGGGACTTTGAGACATGGAAAAAAGGAGGACAAGATAGGGGCTGATGGACATGGATGGAAAGATGATGGAAATGTAGCTGAGAGACATAGAAGGAGGATGGGAATGTGACTGAGGGACAAGGAGGGATGGAGGACAAGCGTGTGACTGAGAGGCATGGAAGGAAGGAGAACAAAATGGGGATTAGAGGCATGGAAGGAAGGAGGACAAAAGGGGGACTTAGAGGCATGGAAGGAAGGAGGACGAAAGGGGGACTTAGAGGCATGGAAGAAAGGAGGACGAACAGGGGACTTAGAGGCATGGAAGGAAGGAGGACGAAAGGGGACTTCGAGGCATGGAAAAAAGGAGAACGGGAGTGAAGCTGAGAGACATGAAAGGAAGGAGGATGGGATGGTGAGAACGCCTTATAATGAGTTCATTTGTTGAGTAGACCCAGGAACTCAAAACCGAGATCTCATCAAGTGTCACTAACATATAAGAATCTGTAAGGTGGTTTAATCGTCCACTTTCTACCAAACATTAAAATATTTTTTGGGTGGACGATTACTGGGAGAAAGAATAATTATTATTATACAGGATTTATGGCGCCAACAGTTTGCTCAGCGCTTTACAATATAACGGGAGACAATACAGCAACAATACAGTTCAATACAAGAGGGAAAGGAGGGCCCTGATCCTGGGAGCTTACAATCTAGGAGGGAGGAGCTAGTGGTACAAAAGGTAGTAACTGTGGGGGATGGACTGGTAGGAGGAGTAGAAGATTTCATTATTAGCTGAAGGCAGGATAGGCTTCCCTGAAGAGATAGGTTTTCAGAGATCGCCTAAAAGTGAGCAGAGTAGGCGATAGTCTGATAAATTGGGGTAGAGAGTTCCAGAGGATGGGAGAAGCTCTGGAGAAGTCCTGGAGATGAGCATGGGAGGAGGAGACAAGGGAGCTAGAGAGCAGGAGGTCTTGTGAGGAGCGGAGAGTAGGGTTTGGGTGATATTTAGAGACAAGATTGGTGATGTAATTTGGGGCAGAGTTATAAATGGCTTTATATGTTATTGTTAATGTTTTAAATTTTATCTGTTGGGCAACGGGAAGCCAGTGGAGGGATTGGCAGAGAGGGGTGAAGGACACTGAGTGGAGGCCAGTGGAGGGATTGGCAGAGAGGGGTGGAGGACACTGAATGGAGGCCAGTGGGGATTGGCAGAGAGGGGTGGAGGACACTGAGTGGAGACCAGTGGAGGGATTGGCAGAGAGGGATGGAGGACACTGAATGGAGGGATTGGCAGAGAGGGGTGGAGGACACTGAGTGGAGACCAGTGGAGGGATTGGCAGAGAGGGGTGGAGGACACTGAATGGAGGGATTGGCAGAGAGGGGTGGAGGACACTGAGTGGAGACCAGTGGAGGGATTGGCAGATACAGAATGGTTAGTGAGGTGGATGAGTCTGGCAGCAGCATTCATGATAGACTGGAGGGGGGATAGCCTGCAATGAGGTCAGCCAATGAGGAGGGAGTTACAATAGTCAAGGCGAGATATAACAAGGGAGTGAATAAGTTGCTTAGTGGTTTCCAGGGTTAGGAACGGGCGTATCTTGGAGTTGTTGCGAAGGTTGGAGAAGTTGCGAAGGTTGGAGATGTTGCGGAGGTGAAGGCTACAAGATTTAGACAGCGATTGGATTTGGGGCTGAAAGGACAGATGGGAGTCTAGGGTTACACCTAGTACCCTGGCATGAGGGGAGGGACTGATGGTGTATTATTGATCTTGATGAGAAGTCGGGGGAGGGGTCACAGGCTGGGGGAACACTAAGAGCTCAGTTTTGGAAAGATTTAGTTTGAGGAAGTGGAGTGACATCCATACCGATATGTCTCTTAGTAGGTTAGTAATGCGGGTGGAGACTGAAGGGGTGAGGTGAGGAGAGAGATAGATTTTGTGTGTCATCAGCACAGAGATGGAACTTAAAGCCATGGGAGCTTATCAAGTGACCAAGGGAGGAGGTGTAGATGGAGAAGAGAAGGGGTCCAAGGACAGAACCTTGAGGGACCCCAACAGAGAGGGGAAGTGAAGAGGAGGAGGCAGAGTTATAGCTAACGCTGAAGGAGCGCTGCGATAGGTAGGAGGAGAACCAGGAGAGAGCAGAGTCTCGGAGTATGTCCCAAACATACTTCAGAAGCTTGATTGTGCAACGCCTAGAATGAAAGCTGCCATTCCTTTGTCCAAAACAAGGTGGTGCACTCACACATACTGAATGGTCCGCACAGACAGGAAGTGATTTTGGAAGCAGACAGGAAGTGATGTCACATATGAAGTGGAAGTTCCCAGTGATCAGTGAGTTGGGAGGAAGTAGAGAGGAGACATTGCTGGAACTGGCAGAAGAGGAGGTAATAAGATCTTATTTTCACCCTGTAACCCCCCGTCATGTCCATCCTCTTCCTCCATCGTCATGTCCATCCTCTTCCTCCATCGTCATGTCCATCCTCTTCCTCCATCGTCATTCCCGTCCTCTTCCTCCATAGCTATGCCCGTACTCTGCCTCCATCGTCATGCCCGTACTCTGCCTCCATCGTCATGCCCGTCCTCTTCCTTCATAGTCATTCCCGACCTCTTCCTCCATAGTCATTCTCGTCCTCTTCCTCCATCATCATTCTCGTCCTATTCCTCCATCGTCATTCCCGTCCTCTTCCTCCATCGTCATGTCTGTCCTCTTCCTCCATAGTCATTCCCATCCTCTTCCTCCATCGTCATGTCCGTCCTCTTCATCCTCACTGTGATGTCTTACAAATATCTAACGTCCAACTACATATGTAGGATGAATATATAATCTGTATATAATAATAACTACCTAGAAGCACTCCGAGTGTAATCCTTTACAATAGTAATACTTTCGACAATCACCGTCATTGGTAGATGTGGAGATCCATGACAGTCATTCACTTAGCAAACAGCAATAATAAAGGATAGACAATGGATAACTGATGTGGGCTGTATAGTCCGGAGCCCTAGAGTTCAAATAATTCTCAGATTATTACCCGTCCTACAGAGAGGAGAGTCCTGTATAGATCACATGACCACCTCGATGAAGATGGATGAGGAAAACTTGACTCAGAGGATTTTGGACCTCACCTTGGAGATCATCTACCTATTGACTGGAGAGGTGAGGAGGATTCTGGGAGGTCACATGACATCACTCTTATCTCTATTAATAAAATACTCTGACCGGAGAGGTGAGGAAGGTCACATGAATCAATCTCTATTAATAAAACCCAGACCTGACTAGAGAGGTGAGGAGGATTCTGGGAGGTCACATGACATCACTCTTATCTCTATTAATAAAACCCAGACCTGACTAGAGAGGTGAGGAGGATTCTGGGAGGTCAAATGACATCACTTTCCTCTCTATTAATAAAACAAAGACCTGACTGGAGAGGTGAGGAGGATTCTGGGAAATCATATGACATCACTCTCATCTCTATTAATAAAACGCAGACCTGACCGGAGAGGTGAGGAGGATTCTGGGAGGTCACATGACATCACTGATCTCTATTAATAAAACAGACCTGACCAGAGAGGTGAGGAGGATTCTGGGAGGTCACATGACATCACTCCTATCTCTATTAATAAAACACAGACCTGACCAGAGAGGTGAGGAGGATTCTGGGAGGTCACGTGACATCGATATTTCTTTTTTCAATACAGAGTTTCCCTTCTGTCAAGAAGTCTGGTGACCATGTGACTGTCAAGGTGCCTCTACCTCACTTTCGGACTCCTGATAGACACAACAATAGGAAAATTCTAGAAGTCACCAACAAGATAATTGAGGTGCTGACAGGAGAGGTGAGCGGTGCTGGGAATTCTGGGACATTCTCCAGTAACAGACAAGGGATGTGTCTGGATGGTGACTGTATCATTGTGTGTGTCAGGTTCCTATAAGGTGTCAGGATGTCACTGTCTATTTCTCCATGGAGGAGTGGGAGTATTTAGAAGGACACAAGGATCTCTACAAGGACGTCATGATGGAGGACCACCAGATCCCACAGGATTGTCAGGTAAAAGCCTAATATGCAATTTGTGTTTTAGCTGTACAATTCTTGCCTTGGTACTACTATCTTTTATTTCTTATACATTCAGAGCGAAAGCCTGACTGATTTTAAGGTTATTGTGAAAGAAGAAGTTAATGATGAATTAGATGAAGATGATGGGACAAAGAAATGGAAGTATTTAGAAGGATATGAGGATCTCTACAACGACGTCATGATGGATAATCAGCCGCCCTCCTCACATCACCAGGTAAGAGGTACTTTATTGTAAAGGAGAGAGCAGTACGGAGGGTCCACCTAGATCCCCCATCATCTGATAAACACATAGAAACAATGGATTCAATCAGTGTGTGTGTTTCCTACAGATGGATTCAGTCATGGGAACCCACCAGAGAGATGTCCCCATCCTCTGTATTCCCGGGATTCCACACAGGAAGCTCACACCAGCCCTCATCATCATCAGGTAGGTGAGATTGAGGAACTATAACTCAAAAGTAATTCTAATCTGTGTGAGGTCATGTTCCTCTTTGTAGTCTTGGGAGTCGTGCTCACAATTTAAACATCTTTTTACTATTATTTTATGATTTTAGGGTGATGAACCAATTGACATGAAAATTGAAGTTAAAGAGGAAGAACAGATGATTGTGAGAGGTAATTAGCAGTTTGCAGAGGAGGTTGGAATAACAATTTAAAAAGGAAGCAATGTTAGTAGTAAACATTAATAACAGAAACAGTTCACATTTCGTTTTACTTCTACAAGTATAACAAAATGACCAAAGGACCAAAATCAACCAAGAAAAAGAAGACCTTCACATCTTCATCATCACATGTTCAGACCATTCCATTCCTCAATATAATGTCATGTTCCTAACAAATGAGGAGGAGATACTGGACACCATATGAAGGTCCATCTCCATTCCTCAATATGACGTCATGTTCCCAACAAATGAGGAGAAGATAATGGACACCATATGAAAGGTCCATCTCCATTCCTCAATATACTGTCATGTTCCCAACAAATGAGGAGGAGATACTGGACACCATATGAAGGTCCATCTCCATTCCTCAATATGACGTCATGTTCCCAACAAATGAGGAGAAGATAATGGACACCATATGAAAGGTCCATCTCCATTCCTCAATATACTGTCATGTTCCCAACAAATGAGGAGAAGATACTGGACACCATATGAAGGTCCATCTCCATTCCTCAATATGACGTCATGTTCCCAACAAATGAGGAGAAGATACTGGACACACATATGAAAGGTCCATCTCCATTCCTCAATATACCGTTGTGTCCCCAACAAATGAGGAGATACTGGACACCATATGAAAGGTCCATCTCCGTTCCTCATATAACGTCATGTTCCCAACAAATGAGAAGGAGATACTGGACACCATATGAAAGGTCCATCTCCATTCCTCAATATAACGTCATGTTCCCAACAAATGAGGAGGAGATACTGGACACCATATGAAAGGTCCATCTCCATTCCTCAACATAACGTCATGTTCCCAACAAATGAGGAGATACTGGACACCATATGGAAGGTCCATCTCCGTTCCTCAATATAACGTCATGTTCCCAACAAATGAGAAGGAGATACTGGACACCATATGAAAGGTCCATCTCCATTCCTCAATATAACGTCATGTCCCCAACAAATGAGGAGGAGATACTGGACACCATATGAAAGGTCCATCTCCATTCCTCAATATAACGTCATGTTCCCAACAAATGAGGAGGAGATACTGGACACCATATGAAAGGTCCATCTCCATTCCTCAACATAACGTCATGTTCCCAACAAATGAGGAGATACTGGACACCATATGAAAGGTCCATCTCCGTTCCTCAACATAATGTTCCTGGTTGTAATTGATTTCATTATTATTATTATACAGTATTTATAAAGCGCCAATAGTTCGCTCAGCGCTGTACATTACAAAGGGGGACAGAACATGCGACAGTACAGTAACAATACAATGTGATACACGAGGGGTTCGAGGGCCCTGCTCCTTCGAGCTTACAATCTAGGAGGGAGGGGATAGTGGTACAGGAGGAGATAGCTGTGGGGGATGGAGTGGTAGGAGGAGTGGAGGAGGTCGGCAATTAGCAAGGAGTGGGGTAGGCTTCCCTGAAGAGGTGGGTTTTCAGGGTGCGCCTAAAGGAGAGGGGAGTAGGTGATAGTCTGATGGATTGGGGTAGGGAGTTCCAGAGGATGGGTGACGCCCTGGAGAAATCCTAGAGGCGTGCATGGGAGGAAGAGATCAGGGAACTAGAGAGAAGCAGGTCTTGTGAGGAGCGGAGAGTGCGTTTTAGGTGGTACTTGGATATTAGGTCGGTGATGTAATTTGGGGCAGTATGATGGACAGCTTTGTGCGTCAGTGTTAGGATTTTGAAATTGATCCGTTGGGCAATCGGAAGCCAGTGGAGGGATTGGCAGAGGGGGGGGTGGCGGAAACGGAGCGGTTGGTAAGGTGAATGAGTCTGGCTGCCATATTCAGGATCGACTGAAGCTGGGATAGCCTGTGGCGAGGCAGGCCAGTGAGGAGGGAGTTGCAGTAGTCGAGTCGTGATATGATGAAGGAGTGGATGAGCTGTTTAGTGGTTTCTGGGGTTAGGAACGTGCGAATTTTGGCGATGTTGCGGAGGTGGAGTCTGCATGAGTTTGTTAGTGATTGGACTTGGGGCTGGAAGGATAGGTTGGGGTCCAGAATGACACCAAGTACTCTGGCCTGCGGGGGGGGGGGGGGGGGG